ATAGATAGATAGATAGATAGATAGATAGATAGATAGATAGATAGATAGATAGATATTCAAGGACAAGTGTAATTTTTGGCTGTTTTCACAAACTTTCCAGGGCCTTAAAATATATATTTTTTCAATTTCACAAACTTTCAAGGATTTCAAGGACCCGTGGGAACCCTGTTAGATGAAAGTCGAATTTCCTTCTTGACCAATAATGTTCAAGAAGTTGAACAAAAAAAAAAAAAAAACCCTAACATTTATAATCAGAAATCTAGCCATGATATTTTTTTTTATATCGACAGCTCGCCCCTTCCAATATGATGTTGCACTTGTACAAGTGTTACTATTTTCTGAAGCGGGTGTGATGCCTATATTCTATATTGCTCATTGGYTTTACCTTTCTAAAAAGAAGACAGACAATAAACAAATTGAAATTACTCCTCTGTATATACATGATAAAGAACCTAAGTTCCTGTTTTTTAACGATCTGAACAAAAGTTTTTTTTCTGTCTTAAAGACAAAAGACAGCACATCTCCAACAAACTGAGAACAGGTGTCCCTCAAGGATGTGAGCTCAGTCCTTTGATTTTTAATTCTCCAAAATTCAGCTGCAACCTTTCAAGGTTGATGAATAGTTAGTTCCCCTCTCAATCCTCTCCAGTGTTTGAGCACTGAAAACATCTTACAAACTGTCACATCTTGGCAAATGCAGCGTAACAAACAGTAAATCTCCCTTTTAAGAATGGCTGACAGCGTTGTTCCGAGTCACTCTCCTTAGAAAGCTCTCAGTATTCTAAGAGATCAATTGTCCATTTAAATCAAAAGCGTTCATTTGAATCAAAAGCAACATCCCTCAGGCAATAAAGTTGTTAAATTTACAGAAAAAAGAAATGTAGTTTGGTTTAAAAAAACTTAAGGGAACTAATAGTTTACACAGAATCCCGGGGCATTTTATTTACAGAAATAACACTTCTAAAAATTGCAATATTTATTTTGTTGTCTCACTTTATGTCAAGGTATTTATTTCATTTGTGTTTTTATTACTGAATAACAGTTTGACAGGGTAATGTACTTCTAAAAATATATTCACATATTTTAACCAGATTTTCATTGCTTTTTTTGCTCACCACATATTACACAGATACGACATGAAATRTGCATTATCACCATTACCGCAAAATCCCTTTCAATTTCAAATACTCTTCTAAAAGGATTTAACTTGTAATACTTCAAGTATCAAAGTAGCATTCTACAATACAAACCTGAATGATGAGATCTCAATGACTTCACAAATACCACAAAGATTAGCTAAATCTTCTATTAGAAACAACAAAAAATAAAAGAAAAAATAATGTACTAAAGTTGTATTCTGTAACAAATGCTTTCATTGTAGAAAAGCACTTGTTAACTTTGTTTCAAGTGTGAGTAAATACTTTATGAATGCTGTAAAATAAAATTTAAAACTTGTGATGCTGAATTAGGCGGAGCTCAAACACAAGTAAAACTTTGCTCTAACACCATAAAGACAGCAGTGAGTCTGTGAGCGTGAGTAAACCAGAGAAAAAGGGGTAGAGCTCAGTAAGTGTGTGCGCTACTGAATTAAAAGAAAAGACAGAATCTAAAACTAAATCTTTGGTAACAAGATGGTTTAAGCTGATAACGTCTTTTTACAGGTTACAAAGTGTATTCGTATTTGAGAAGTCATGAAATTAAGGCAGAATTTAACGTGGAAACTGAAAATAAATCAATCACCATTAAAGTACTATTAAGGAGTCCCACTCCATTTTTGTATAGACACAAAACCATGTTTTTGATTTTTCTTTTTATTTAATGTTGAATTGTGTTGCCACTCTTCCCTCAGTCCCATTCCTCCTCATCTCTGTAGTGGTTGTCTTCTCTGGGTGGCTCCTGAAACCGGATGTTAGCCAGCATGTCCCTCATTGCCGCCATCAGACGATTTACTTCTTGGTTCAGCTCCTGGCCAGCTCGAGCCACCTCCATCTCATCCTCCTGCCTCGCTCCACCCTTAAGATAAAAATAAACATTTATCATTTAACAAAATCCTAACGTTGATGCTGCTGTCCAAATATTTGTTTTGTTTGTAGAAATTTGCCGTCATTTTCTTGCTAATATTTTATTAGTTGATGGTTTAMAATAGTTACTTGTGGTTTCACATTCTCATCTAACTTAAAAAAAAATGTGATGGAGCCCAGATAACCTTTAACTCTGTAACTCCATGTACATTATTCTTAATGTAACACACAGTTTTTTCCTACCCTTATCTATATTTATTTTATCCATATTTCTGTCCCTTCTCTCCAAGAGGATATTATTTTATCAAGAAGCAAGGAATGATCCAGATAGTGCAGAGGGCAGATCTGCTAACATCCAGCATGTACATGTTCATCTGTTTGTGTGGGTGACTTTAACCATATCTCCTAATGTGGCAGAGGATCTCAAGAACAATGGTAAGATTAATAAAATGCATCATATTTATGATATCCTGAGTGCATTCTGCTTTATGCTAACTTAAGCACATCACTGTAAATTTGTTAATAAATACCTATTTAAACTTTTCAAAATTACATCAGTGTCATTCTGCTCTTTGTATAGCCCACACATCATCTACTGAATTTATCCAATATTGTTTTTAAAGAAGGATCACATACAGTTAGGTCCATATACTGTATACTGTATTTGGACACTAACACAAAGTTTTTTCCCCCTGTTTACTGGAACATTTAAGTTATATAATGGATAAGGGTATAAAGTCCAGACTTTCAGCTTTCATTTGAGGGTCTCCACATTAAAATTGGATGAAGGATTTAAGAGTTCAGCTCCTTCTGTGCCCATCCTGCTTGAGCTGTTGGACTAAATTCTTCCTGGTTGGTTACTTCGACCGAGGGTCTGCCCCCCACTTAACATCCTTATTCTGGACTATGGCTGCGCTGGTTTTGGGGACTTGATTCTTTAGGCTCATTTTTCAGAAATTCACACAAGCATACAACACTCATGGCTTCAGATAAATCTGCTCTATGCAGAGGTTTTTTTTTATAAACACCACAGTGTGTCACATTGTTGATATAATATGATGTTTATTATTTTCCTCATCTTCCCTTGTGTGGTTTTTAGTTTTTCTGTTAAGGGTTGCACCTCCTCATGATGTCTTCATGATGATGATCCTTGCTCTGTGCTGGGGTCTGTGGCTGCATGACCCAGGGCACCTGTTCTCCTATGTTTGTTATGTTCAGTCTTCTTYTGAATGGGTGTTCTGAACTGTAATTTCATTGTGTTCTGTACAATGACAACAAAGCTCTATCTAATCTAACCTAAATGCACAGAACTCATCAATGCAAAAAGACCTGGACGCTCACAGAAAACAACTGTGGTGGATGACTGCAGAATATTTTCCATTAAGAAGAGAAACTCTTTCACAACAGCCAACTAGGAGAACAACAGCTCAGGGGCAGAACAAGTATTATCTTTCATGTTTTAAATTTCTTTATTGTGTTAGATTGAATCATAAATTCAAAGTTTACTATCATTATTGAAAACTATTTTCATATCAAAATAAGTAAAACAAATGATATAAAATAGGTGGTGTCTTTTGGCAGGCCAGACACATGTCACCTGTGGGCCGCATTTGGGCCGTGGGCCTTGAATTTGACACGTGATTTAACTCGTCTTTTATGATTCAACATATCTGGTATGCAGAGTTGCATTTTCTTAGCTTGTGCCATCTTCTGAGGGCAGCAACCAACGGTTGGCACTGTAGCAGGTGAACTGGATATCCTGGAAAGAGCGGCTGATTAAAGAATGACGTTCAGGCTTCAGTCCATCGTTAACAATGCTTATCACCTCCTTCACAGTGGTGTGGCTGAACAGAAAAGCACATTTAGCCTGACCAGCATGTGCTCCACTGACCACCACAGGAAATCCCCCTCCCCCTCCCCCCACAGCCATTATAACTCCTCTGCACATCACACACACACACATTATAAAAGGTTTCTTAAGTTTCTCATGTAGCACGAAACAAAAATTGCTGAAATCAAACTATATAAAAGTTTTTCCTGTTTGTTTAGAGCTTGTTTTAAGGTCTGCAAACGCTTGTATGAAATGTCCAAAAGCTTCATGTGAGTTATGTCTTTTCAAATAATTTTATAAAATCTGTATCTATTTCAAATTTAAACAAAAGCGAATAAATTAGTATGCTCTACTATGAAAAAGTTTTCTGTGCTCAACTGAGAAACTAAAATGTGTCCCGGTCTGTTCATTACTCAGAGGTAATCGGTTAAAATACTAAATTACAGGAAAAATTGAGTGAAGTGAGAAAACAAAATAAAAAGGCTTCTTTTTGTCCGGCATAAATGAACACATCAGGTTCCGTTAAATTTCCGCTTCAAACATTTAATCCGTAACTAAGCTGACCTGTCACATCCAAATGTCTCCTGACATGTTGTTTTGGTATTGATACACTAATTTTGTCGTCTAACACAAATCTAAAAAGAAAACTAGTTTCCACAAGTATTTATTCTTCTTTTCTACAATGTTCTGGAAATGTCATCCTAAAAATGTTCTTCAAAATGTGTTTTCTATCTTTTTGTCTAATTCTCCTTACTAAATAATTACATCTGTGACCCAAACTCAGACAACTGACTAAAAAAAGATGGACCAAAAAAAAAAAAACTTGTGAATTTAGGATCTAAAAAACATCCAAATACTAATTCTGGGTAAATAAACCCCTTGATGTTGCTCAAGTGACACAGTGAATGAGCTTCATTTATAGCAAACAGACAGCAAAGGCAAACGATTTTATACTTTGTGAATGACAATGTTGTTTTATTCCCCACTGACAATCTGGGAAACAGAGGACAGATTTAACTGCAAAGAGGGTCATATGCCTGCTTAGACACTTTTTCAGTTGTCTCTTGAGGGTGAGCATGAGCCTTTTAGAGGAAATGTTCCATCGGTCAAGGATGTGACTTTTTTTTTCCTTCAGAGCTTTAATCAGCTCAAATGCTTCTGCAAGCCCTGCAGGGTGCTGTGACTAAATGCATCTGGGTGAGCTTTGTTTAGTGCATTTGGCTTTTTGGTTATCAGCTTCAAATCAGTATCTAGATATAAAAACATCATAAAAATGTGTAAAAGCAACAGAAGAACTCAGAAAAAGGAGGTGAGAAACTCTCTCAGAAGCTTATTTTAACCAATACAAGGAAAATAATYGAATAATTTATTAAAAAAACATTATTCAGAACTCTAAACTAATTTATCTTATACAGTATTAGATTACAACAATAAAAGTCACTGAGGTTTTCTCCGGATGGTTTTTTAATTATAGATCTGCAAATATTTCTAACAATTAATCACTAATCCACAAAACACAAACAATCAGACCACAAGCTACAATTTTTAAAAAAATCTTTTTTATCTTTAGCCGACGCTTGTGGCATCCGTTTACTAAACCATGCTTCTGCAACTGAAATACTTCAGGGTTTGTAATTGCTGCAGATAATCCAAACATCATGAAGAAATAGAAACAGGGCTGCACCGATTAGTTGAAATAATCGATGACGTCGATTATGTAAATTTGTCGACGCAGATTTTTTATTATCGATTCGCTGTATTACATAACCACCACGTGAATGTTCATGCAATTCCATTTCGGTACCTAAACGCATCACTGCGACCGTATTGGCATAAGAGTGGTGAGTTTTCCATGCTTGTCCTGAACGCAGCATCAAACAAGAGCGTAATGACGTCAGCAGCTGCTGCTTCAGTTCAGTCTGAAGCTTTAAAGCCTCGCAGCTCCTGGAGTAAAATTTACTGAACAGACCGCCTCTGAATTACCTGGTGGATTAATTATCTTGTGAACACGACGTTCGCTTGCTCAAAGTAAATAAAGTATCACCACTTTCTTTATTTCATCCTCCATTAAACAGAGACCGGTGTTAGGTCGAGCTGCGTTCTCCCATCAGACGGTTCCCACAGCGTCTCAAACAACAGAGGAGCTTCCCGACACACGTCTGACCTAAAGAGCACAAGCAGCCAACAAGTGTTGGACGTGTTCTGGATGTTCAAAACGTAGCTTAAATACCTTTTATTAATTTTAACTGCATCCTCTTTTATTTATTTGATTTAAACTTATTTGCCTTCCATAGATCTCCATCACACAATTTTTCTAGTGGGGAAATGACATCAATAGAAACACGTGGAGCTGGATTTTAATTTGTGTAATAAGACAAAACAGTCTTGTTGTTTTCAACAGTTTTCACCTTAAAGAAATAAGTTACACAACTGATGTTACAATACAAAGAGTTGGATGTTGTCTTGATATTTGTTAAATTTTATATATTGAGAAATATGTTAAATAAAAAATAAATAAATGTTTATTATAGGTTTTCCAGAGTGCCTTGAATTTTGCATGATTTAGTTCATTTGTTAGATTGTTAACATCTTGCACTATATTTCTTTTACTTGAATTTTATATACTTTGGTTGAGATTTTATGTTGATGTTAAATCTTTTAAGCTTTTTTTGTTAAAGAATTGACTCTAGAGTGCATATTTTGTGTCCATGAAAAAACTATTAAAGACAATATTACAATATTAAAGAACTGTTCTTGTTAATTTGATGAAAACATTTTAAATATCCAGTGCACTCACATYAGAATAACTTATAGATTTGTTGTTAGAATAATCGATTAATCGAAAAAAATAATCGTTAGATTAATCGATTAGAAAATAATCGTTTGGTACAGCACTAAATAGAAATGAACAGTTTTACATATTTGGGAGCAACGAGTTCAAATTCTGGGCACAGATCAAATTAAGTGATCAACTTCTGGACACAGAGTAAAAATTTGTTAGAGACAAATGACTTTAGTCTGCAGGGCTTCCAGCTGCTGATCACATGGCGTCTCCACATGCACGCCATGAGCTCCTAATTAGGCTTTTCTGTTATTCAACTTTTATGCAGCAATCTTAGGATTTATTAACAGAGTTTGCTCTACAGGTTGAGAACTGACAAAACCACAAACCATAATCAAAATATAGCTTATTTATGTATGTGAGCTCATTTTTATCTGATATATAAATGTCTTTTTTTTACCCTTGTGCYGCACAAACCACTAAAATTATGCGACTCACCTGAAGGTTGAAGTTTGGCATCAAAGAGCGGATAAACAGAGACAGYGTGCTTTCATTGGTTGCACCAACATTCTGCCTGTATGTGCAGACATCAAAACACAGAAACAGATTGCTCAAAGATCATGAACAATGTTTCTTCTGTTGAGAAAATAATTCTTATAGATTATCACCTCTCAGGTCTGGTGTATGATATCACTGAGTCGAGTGGAGGCAGGGGGTCAAAGCCCATCACAGGCTGCGTGGTTACCTCCTGAGGACAAACGGACAAAAACACCAGTTTTAGATCACTTCCAAATGGAGCTTGTTCATATGTTGTGAAAAGAAGACGATGATGGGCTGCTGCATCGTCTTACCAAATAGGAATTTTTCTCAAAAAAAAAAATTAACTATATTGTTTATGCTTTGGTTCAGCTAAATCATAACAGTGTTTGTTAAGCTTCAACAACACAGAAAAGTTAAACAGCTCCATGTATCCAAATGACATCGCAGCAACAGACTGAAGATTTCTTGTTAGAAAATAGTTTCAGAGCAGCTTGTACTGAGTTCCTAATTTTCTGCATTTTGCCCTAATTAGGTTCTCAAAAAGTAAGCAAGCAAGTCAAATAGTAAGTGAGGAACTGTGCTGATGGTTTCTTACTAGAGGCAGCGTGGAGGTGGCTTCTTTGATTTCAGAAAGAATGACATGGCGATGGATGTTTCTTGGCGCACTTTGATACCTTTGCTTTCTCCTACAAAATAAATAATGAAGATCCTGAAGACATTTATTAATGCAAAAAAAGTCCAGATATCTGGTGAATAAATCCTAAGAATACATATTTAGCATTATCTAATAGATGTCATGATGCATCTCAACAATTCAGGTATAAAAATCCATAAAAAAGTTGAGTAGATCCTCTGGACGAGTTCTTCTTCACTGAAACATTCCGTCTCTTCTCTAAGAGACATCTTCAGTCTGGTTACTTGCAGGTAAGCTCAGCCTTATAAGCAGTWCCTTCACAAAGTGGATCAACAGGTTTACTGATGACAGTCGAAACGGTTTTTTCACATGCAAAAGAGGTAAAGCAGCCACTGACAAAAAGAATGGTCCAGCACAGAAGAACAACATCATCAGGTTATGACTCTGCAGTTTAMACTCATCTGCAGGCCAGCACTCACGCTTTCAAGGATGATGATGTTCCCATCCTTGAWWGAGAGGAAYGTTGGTTTGAGACAGRAGTAAAGGAAGCAATTTTGGTGAAGAGAAACCGGYCATCATTAAACAGGGGTGGAGTTCTCCGTGCCCAGTTGTCCCTGCCTTAATGTTGTTGCGAGTAGGMCTCTGCCCTCTGTGAACAATAAGCGGCCATCAGGGCACTAACGATYGGTCGTTAGGATAATGGTCCTCTTTTACATGTGAACAAAMTGTTTTRATCATCACCGGTAAACTTGTTGATCTATGTGATGGTTCTGCTCATATTAAGGCTGAGTTTACCTGTTAGTCCTCAGACTGGAGAAGTCTCTTGGAGGAGACAAAACTGTTTAATAAAGAAGAACCCGTCCAGAAGACCTGACTAAGATTTTATTAAGAGAGTTAAAAAGTTACTAAAATGCCCAAGTTTAACATCTGCTACGCTGTGAATGTTGACCAGATGGTGGAAACCATACTTGTTTTGGCATTCCTCCACAAAAGGGTCTTTGACATCAACTCGACTCAGCACCTCCTTCACCGTCTCCTCCAACCAGAGCATTACCACCGCCTCCCTCCATAGACTGTATGTTCTCCCCACGTACAGAGCTGTTAGTTCAGCCAAAGCCGGAGGTTGCCTGGAGAAGGGAGAGAGATGGTGAGATTCAAACTTAAGGCGTTTTCACACCTGATGGTACGGTAAACCAGGTTCAATTGGGGACCAAAATTGCAAGATTTGTTTACATTTTCAGCTGGTTCGGTTTGCTTTCACTTTGTGCCAAAAAAAAAAAAACAACAACCTTTGAGCGACCTGTTTACCCCCTCGCCTGTGGTGGCGCTGCACCGAGACCCACTGAAGGAAACGACACAAAAACCTTGGAAAAAAGGCACTGAGCGCAACTTCCTTCTTCACGAAATGTAAACAAACATGGAGTGGCATCAGATTTAAGCGGTTTGCTTTTGGCAAATGTCATGGCAAAAAAACAAAATGGTCCCAGCATGAGCAGAAGATGAGGTGGAAGAATGTTGGTTTTCACACAAGGAGGCTGAGACGACTCTGTTTAAGGCAGCGTGCACTGATAGCAGCACATCCAACTTCATAGCAGTGATGTCAACCTTATACAGACATCGAGCAAGGTATTTGAGTAAATTTACTACTATTACTCAGAATGMCCTGCCATGCAGTCTCCAGTCCAGAGTTTGCTTTTTTTTTGTCTGCATCAGAGTTCGATTATGCATTCACCTCCAAAACAAACTGGAATTTATAGGCAAACGAACTACAGTTCGATTAAAGCTGACTAAACAGGGCTGGTATGAATACACCCTTAGGTGTATAAGGATAAGGCTTGCAGAACAATTAAAATAGAAAGAAATAAAAACAAAGGTAATCAAGTTCACTAAAAGATTTGTGGCAGTTCTTTTATGAATTTGTTCTGATTACAGAATGTGGGAAAATAAATTATAGCATGTCTAACTGGTTAACATTTGAAGAGAAACACTTTGTAAATGAAGAACGCTTACCCTATCTGACTCTTTGGGCCAAAGAAGCTATGTGAGGAGACTGCAGCATCCGGCTGTACTGTGCACAGATCCAATAAAGGCATCAAGACTGAAAAAAGAAACACGTGAAGTTAAATTAATCTGTAATAATCATTRTTGTAGAAATCTTCTAGATTCTGTTCCCCTGGTCAAACAGGTAACTCCTGACTGTGGGTTCTGACCTCCAGGGAACATGATAAGAGCGCCCTGAAGCATCTGGTCAGCTTGCTGTTTGTGTCTGCAGGCYTCTTCAGCGTCCAGATCTTCCTGCTGACTCAGATGAAAATGGCAAAGTGCACAGGAGAACGCAAAGTTTGGCAGCTGAGACAGATTTCTGTGCTCCTGAAACATCAAGAAAAATAAATGTTTCTGTGTCGGATTAAAAAGGGTTAAGAAAGGCACAATGATGCGTAAACATGAACCAACTGCACATTTTACCTCCCAGTCTTGATATAACTGAAGGAGAGACTTGTACTCTCTAGAGCGCAGCATCAGGAAATCAACGAGGAGGAGCATGCACAGAGGGTCCGAATCTGGATCCAAACTGGGATGAAAAAAMCATGAGCAAACAAACACCGCAAGTGCTTAAAAGAAGAGTATTATAGGTAGAATTACCAGAAACACTACAGTTTCTGAGGTGGTAAATAAAAATGTATATGTAAGTGTTAGCTGAATTTAAATAGAAAAACTAGCATTTTCCAAAAAACGTCCATAAAAAGAAAATGTTTTTTTATATGTGTTTAAAACAGGAGCTATTGATTAGGATCACAGCTAAAGCTTTGGAACATATAAACAAGGCGGTGTAATGACGTTATAACAGGGCAAAAGATAAATGTGTTCTTGCATACATTTTGTTTGTATTTGTCTCTGGTCTTTTGCATAAATTCAAATAGAAACTTGACAAATTTCTTCCCTAGAAAAAATCTTTTTGTGGAAAACTTGAAAATTATTTTTGAGAAGAAATGTTGATTCAGACATTTTGCACACAGATTACATGCCATTTGTGCTTCCAAAGTATAAGAATAGATGTCAGTTTATTTATGAAGCATWTTTAAAAACATGTTGCAGCCAAATTACAGCAGTATAAAATGCTGACATCAAAATATGAGTAGAGCTTATAAAATGTTTGAAATATAAACAGCTGCGTTGGTTTAAAAAACAACACTGATAAAGTGTGTTTGCAGTTTACTTGTGTGTTTTGCATTTATCTTAAAATGCTCTTCTTTCTCAGGCTTTTCTGGTACCTCAGGATCAGTTTGCAGAACTCCAGAGCAGTCCGCGGACATCCTCTCTTCTCCAGGAACATCATGTGCTTATAAAGAGCCAGATAAAATGCTCTGCAAACAGAGATTATTGAGTTACCGCATTGCTGAGAGCATAAAACACATTTTACGTTGAAAACAATAAACTAGGGTTAAACTGATGTTTCACAACATTTAAGACTAAGAGCAGAGGTGCAACTGACCTGTTCTCAGGTCTCAAATAATCCAGCCTGCTGGTACCTGATGTCAGGCTGAATAAAGGGTGAAAAGCACACTCGAAGCTGTACAGAGCCCTCTCTGTATGAAAAATAAGATATTCGTTTTCATTCATTTACAGGATTTACTACTGTTATCTGGCAAAAATAAAAAAAACAGATACACGAAAAACTGAAACAGGCAAGCTATGGCAACAAAATCAATCATTTAACAATCAAATCACCATATAAGTCTGCCTCCTAAAAATACTAGAACTAAAAAACTAGTGTCTGAACTCTGTCTACAGTCAAATACAGCCAGTGGCATGTAATTAAATCATCCACAGACGGAGACAAACACTGCTTGTTCAATTATCCCTCTGGTCTTCCACATAGACTATTTTAGATAACCCGTTAGGAACAGTGTCTGTGATATAAGTGTAGCATTGTGCTTTGCATGAAGCATGAACTCTGACTTGTTAACAGGCACTGGTCTGTTGATTCACCATCTGCAAAAACACACAGCTCTGAAATGAGTTAGCGTGATGAGCGAAAAAGAGGTTCAACAGTTAAACTGACAATAACAATTTTGGTTAAAATAATTTGAAAAAAAAATCGAATGAGAAAACATAAAACTGAGAGTTTTTGTGTTGCAATTATTTTAATTTTTTTATTTAGATTYTTTTTGTGAAGATGTAAACTAATCCTA